AGCCCAACTTGAGTAAATGAACTTAATAAATTGTTCAAACTCTAAGTCTTTTAAAAAATATTTCGAGCTCAAGTTAAATCGATTATTTTACACGTTTGAGTCTAATTGAGTCAACTCTTGGAGTTAAACCGTCAATGCTCGTTAGATAAAACACAGTAATGAAATATAAAGATTGAAAATTTAATCTTACTGGCATTGGTTGGATCAGCAACTTTGGTTTGATAATTTGGAGGAAATGATGTGTCATTTCGATCCTTAGAGGCATGAGGATCTTCCTCCATTCCTGTTTCTCTTCCAATATTGACCCTAGGCTGCCCCATATATTGATCACCTTGCGAGTGGACAAGGTTTCCCCTCGGTCTTGCATCTACCATCTTAGAATCGTGACGATCCTCCACAGTACCTGTTGGTTTTTCCAAATTGACCACCCCTTGTCCGGGTACACCACTCTTACCGCCAGCGACTGATCCGAAAGCTGTAAGACATTCACAATATCTATATAACTTGTACAGTTCTTCTTAAGGGCTATTATAGTAGTTTTGTGACTTTTTTTATTTTTTATTTTTTTGAGAGGGAAAGAAACTTGAACCTTTAAATACAAAACTGTCGCAAGAAGTACCAATCAATATTGACGGATTAAGTTAACAAATTAAAACGAACAATAAATTTAATGCACCGTGAGCTTTTGGGCCTTCCACCATTTCTTCGTCTTCTTCTTCCTCATCATGCTCGTGATCATGACCATGGCCATGCTTTGCAAGAGTGTCCTTAATCTTCTTAGCCTTTGCCTTCACTTTTTCCAACACCGATTTCTTCTCTTGATGTTGTTCATCTCCACCTTGATCTATCACTGCAACAAACAAAACATTCACTAGCAATAAAGCCTCGAAATTCTGAGCATTCGACTAAAAAACACACACAGAAAGGAGAGAGAACAAAAGTTTATGGTAAACTGCAGCCAAAATATGAAGTTTTTTTTACCTGAGTACGACCCAGCGTTGTGCGGGTCTTCGTCGTAATTATGGCCATGAGGACGCTGTAATTCTGATTCCATCGTCGGAACAGTAAAAGTGTTTTCAACGCTGGATTTTTGTCGGTTACTTATTTCAAAATGAAATGGGGTGGAGAAGAAGAGGGAGGGAGAAGTGGTTTATAAAGTGGAAGCAGGTGGGCCACCTTGCATGGCGTTGGCGCTCTGTGAGGTGAAAACCTGACACGTGTCTGCTTTACGACGCGTGTAGAGGGAGTAATGCAGACGTGGCTTCAACGTGGGAATTGGTCCTCGCTAGCGCGACGAATGGATAACCTTGACAAATAGAATTTCAGAACTTCAATTAACTGGTTAGATACCGTCTATAATAGCACAATATGTGATTTTATGTGGAGCCACTTCCCTATATATTATCTTTTTATTAAATAATTACATTATATCATCTCACGAGAAAGAAAGTTGTACTGTATAATTATAATTTTTTGTGGGATAAATTATAACTTACAAATGCATGGTTGTTCTTACAACACTGTAATCGATTATGAAAATTATAATTTTTAAAAATAAAATTATAATTTTTAAAAGTCAAATAAAAATACGTAAGAGATAAGTTATAATTAGTTGAAGGAGTTCCGTAATCGATCTTAAATTTTCAATATTAATTTTACTTTGGAAAAGTGCAACTTTGTCATTAAAAATCGTAGCTACTGGCTTGCAATATTGCTTGGAGGCTTCCATATATCCATGATTTGTAATCTAATTGCAATCTATTAAAATTAGGGCAATGCTATGGCTATTTAATTTGGGAATTTATATTAAAAATTTCGTTAGGTAAGTTATTAGTTCTAATATTAGATAGACTTTCTTTTTAATTTAATAATTATAATTGATGAAGTATTTAAATAATAATCATTTAGATTTTCCAAAATTAAGTATAAGAAGTGTTCTTTATAAATAATATACTAAAACTACCAAGAGTGGTCTAGTGGGGTACCGGCCTTACTCCTCACTTTGAGGTTGAAAATTTGAGTCTTGGAGTTCCCATTAGAGCTTGGTGGTTGGCCGCTATACTAGCCTAGCTAGGTCTGGTCCCGAGAGGTGTTCCAGGCGTGATCAGGGGTTTCATGATCCCACCAGTGAGGGTCTATCGGGGTGGTCGCTGGACACTTTTCTTTGCCCCCACCCCTATTTTAAGTATCAAAAAATATATATATATATATATATATATATATATATTATACTAAAGGGTTATGAACGCACGTTATCCATGTATAAATAAAAAAAGATATATGAATATAAATAAAAATTAAAAATAAAATAATTTAAGTAGTTAAGTATGACTAAATAAAAAATTATAAACACTTAAGTAAAAACAAAAGGGATATTAATAGCATATAATAAACTACTAAAAAGGGAAGGGGATACCATAACCACTTTTTTTTTTTTAAGTAGGGAGAATTACATCTAAATCTCTTAAGGTTTGTCACTTGATCATTCAGATCCCTTGATATTTAAAATATTATACACAGACCCTTGAGGTTTGTACGCGCGTAACATTTAGACCCTTGTTGTAAATATATCAGTTAATAAATTACATTTAGACTCTCCTAAAGTTTGTAGATATATAATACTTAGAACCTTTAAGTTTAAAATATTGTACTTAAAAAAAATATTTCAATTAAATATAAAATACAAAATATTTTAAAATTTACAACTAAAATTTATGTTCTATTGTATCATTTATTGAAATAAAATTAAAATTTTAATTTTTTCTTAAAAAAATCATAATTAGTATATAATTATACTATATATTGGAATAAAACTAAAAAATCAAACAATGGGTCTAAGTGATTCATAATAAAACATGAATTTTACATCAAAAATTCATGTTTTATAATGTCATTTATTGAAATAAATTAAAAAAAAATTTTAAAAAAAAACATAGTATATATTTATACCGTCTATTAGAATAAAACTAAAAAATTAAATAAGGAATCAACCTGTAATAAACATAATATCTTTTAGATTTAATTAAGATAGTTTGATATTTTACTTTGGTCGTTTAAACAACTAAATTAAATTCTAATAGACAATATAATTGTATATTAATTACAATTTTTAAGAAAAAATTGAATTTTTATTTTTGATTTTATTTCAATAAATGATACAATAGAACATGCATTTTGGTTGTAAAATTTAAAATATTTTATATTTGATTGAACTATTTTTGGTCTAAGTATAATATTTTAAACTTAAAAGGTCTAAATATTATATACTCACAAATTTCAAGGGGTTTAAGTATAATTTATTAACTGATATATTTACAGTAGAAGTTTAAGTGTTATGTGCGTACAAACTTCAGGAGATCTGTGTGTAATATTTNTAGTTCTAATATTAGATAGACTTTCTTTTTAATTTAATAATTATAATTGATGAAGTATTTAAATAATAATCATTTAGATTTTCCAAAATTAAGTATAAGAAGTGTTCTTTATAAATAATATACTAAAACTACCAAGAGTGGTCTAGTGGGGTACCGGCCTTACTCCTCACTTTGAGGTTGAANTTCAAATGTTAGGGGGTCTGAGTGATTAAGTGACAAATCTCAACAAATCTTACTATAATTCTCCCTTTTTTTTATTAGTTGTATAGATGGCTGTCCATGTTATATTTGTCGCATTCTAATCCTATCGGTTTATTAATTGTAGTTTTTGTTGTTTAATGTTCGATAACAATAATTTTTTTATGGTANTTGGTGGTTGGCCGCTATACTAGCCTAGCTAGGTCTGGTCCCGAGAGGTGTTCCAGGCGTGATCAGGGGTCTCATGATCCCACCGGTGAGGGTCTATCGGGGTGATCGCTGGACACTCTTCATTGCCCCCACCCCTATTTTAAGTATCAAAAAAAAATATATATATATATTATACTAAAGGGTTATGAACGCACGTTATCCATGTATAAATAAAAAAAGATATATGAATAAAAATAAAAATTAAAAATAAAATAATTTAAGTAGTTAAGTATGACTAAAGAAAAAATTATAAACACTTAAGTAAAAACAAAAGGGATATTAATAGCATATAATAAACTACTAAAAAGGGAAAGGGATACCATAACCACTCTTNATTTAAGTAGTTAAGTATGACTAAATAAAAAATTATAAACACTTAAGTAAAAACAAAAGGGATATTAATAGCATATAATAAACTACTAAAAAGGGAAGGGGATACCATAACCACTCTTTTTTTTTTAAGTAGGGAGAATTACATCTAAATCTCTTAAGGTTTGTCACTTGATCATTCAGATCCCTTGATATTTAAAATATTATACACAGACCCTTGAGGTTTGTACGCGCGTAACATTTAGACCCTTGTTGTAAATATATCAGTTAATAAATTACATTTAGACTCTCCTAAAGTTTGTAGATATATAATACTTAGAACCTTTAAGTTTAAAATATTGTACTTAAAAAAAATATTTCAATTAAATATAAAATACAAAATATTTTAAAATTTACAACTAAAATTTATGTTCTATTGTATCATTTATTGAAATAAAATTAAAATTTTAATTTTTTCTTAAAAAAATCATAATTAGTATATAATTATACTATATATTGGAATAAAACTAAAAAATCAAACAATGGGTCTAAGTGATTCATAATAAAACATGAATTTTACATCAAAAATTCATGTTTTATAATGTCATTTATTGAAATAAATTAAAAAAAAATTTTAAAAAAAAACATAGTATATATTTATACCGTCTATTAGAATAAAACTAAAAAATTAAATAAGGAATCAACCTGTAATAAACATAATATCTTTTAGATTTAATTAAGATAGTTTGATATTTTACTTTGGTCGTTTAAACAACTAAATTAAATTCTAATAGACAATATAATTGTATATTAATTACAATTTTTAAGAAAAAATTGAATTTTTATTTTTGATTTTATTTCAATAAATGATACAATAGAACATGCATTTTGGTTGTAAAATTTAAAATATTTTATATTTGATTGAACTATTTTTGGTCTAAGTATAATATTTTAAACTTAAAAGGTCTAAATATTATATACTCACAAATTTCAAGGGGTTTAAGTATAATTTATTAACTGATATATTTACAGTAGAAGTTTAAGTGTTATGTGCGTACAAACTTCAGGAGATCTGTGTGTAATATTTCAAATGTTAGGGGGTCTGAGTGATTAAGTGACAAATCTCAACAAATCTTACTATAATTCTCCCTTTTTTTTATTAGTTGTATAGATGGCTGTCCATGTTATATTTGTCACATTCTAATCCTATCGGTTTATTAATTGTAGTTTTTGTTGTTTAATGTTCGATAACAATAATTTTTTTATGGTGTCAGATACTATAATACTATTCTGTCAATCAAATTTGTCATTCATGGATTGTATCCAAAGCTAGCCCAATACCTCTGTGTTATTTTATTCTATCATAAATTTCAGTGTAATATGAATACAATTTATTCTTATTCTAGAAAAATTTAAAAAGACNCTAGAAAAATTAAAAAAAGATACTTTTAATTCTAGAAAAATAAATATAGAAAAGGGATAATTTTAAAAACTAAATAATCTTGATATAACAATACTATTAAACTATGTTTAGCATCCCAAAATTGGATTGTTGTGTTTTTCTACTAATTCCATCCATTATTTTAATAAGTAGTTCATATATTTTTTTTTCGGAAGGTAGTTCATATTTATTTTAGTTTGTGTAAAATTATACTTGATATTATCCCGTTAATTTACTTAAATAATTTTTTTTTTTCACGGTTGAAATTTCTTTAAATTTTACTTTAAAATTAATCTGTCCATTAATATTTATACATCAAATTTAATATGAAAAATAGGCATCTATAGGTGTGTTTTAGATAGTTTTTTAAAAGTGTTTATAAGAATTATAATTTATCATAAGTATTTATTTAATAGTATTTAGAATTGTTCCACCACCATCACACTATCACCACCATCGTCACCCCGCCATCACCACTCCCCAGTCCCCCCCCCTCCATCACTCCATCGTTACCATCGCCACCACCACCATTACTATCGCCGCCACCGCTATTCCATTATCATCTCTGCCNTCACCCCGCCATCACCACTCCCTAGTCCCCCCCTCCATCACTCCATCGTTACCACCGCCACCACCACCATTACTATCGCCGCCACCGCTACTCCATTATCATCTCTGCGACAACAACCATTACCATTGTCGCCACCCCCACCATTACCAACACACCCATCACCCCCACCATTGTTATTGCCACCTTATCACCACCCCTAATGCCCCACCCACCACCACTATCACCATCACCCAAACAACTACCCCCACCACCATTCCTACCCCCCTCCCCCCAATCACCACCATCATTGTTGTTGCTGTCAGTTTATCACTATCACCACTGTCCCACCATCATCTTTACTAGCACCATTCTCATCGCCGTTACCATTGCCCCCACTGTTGCCACCATCATAATTGATCGTCGTCACCCATCACTATCTTTCACCACCACCACCATTGTCGTCCACCACCATTACTACTGCTTGCCTCAACTATAACCAAATGCTTAAATTCCTTTCTTTTTACTCTATCTTTGTAATTTAATTTTAGGTGTGAATATAAATATGTTTATTATTAAATTTTTTTTATTAATATGTGCTTTCAGGTACGAAAAATAAACTAGTACTATCATATTATTGTAATATTGAAAATGAACGGTGCTTCAATAAATTAACGCGGACATAGTTAATGTAAAATAAACTATTATCACAGTTAATTTTTGAATAAAATAAAAAAGAGNACGAAAAATAAACTAGTACTATCATATTATTGTAATATTGAAAATGAACGGTGCTTCAATAAATTAACACGGACATAGTTAATGTAAAATAAACTATTATCACAGTTAATTTTTGAATAAAATAAAAAAGAGAAAAAAGGTTTCTCTCAATGTTTTACACATTCGGGTAATACTATTTAAATTAAATTTATTGACTTAACCACTTATAAGTATTGAATTGATTATAATTACAAATAAATTAATTAAATTCAAATAACATATTTTTTTGTACGCACCTAGCAGTGATAGGGATGTTCACTCTACCCTACGGGTAGAAAATATGTTCTTCCGTCTTCTTACCCGATACTTTGCGGAAGAGTTTTTTTTTTGGCCTACTACCCGACAGGTGTGGTATTCATATCCGACTTCCTACCCGATTAATCGAATAGTCGGGTAAATATTTTTGTAACAATTAATTTTTGAATTATTTTTATAAATTAATTAAATAACATGTACCAATTTAACAACATAATAAATCAATTAACACTAAAATTTAAAACAACTACAACAAGAATTATATTAAAACACAAGAAAGTATGAACATCAATCCACCATAATTGTTACACAAATACAACAACAATTAATTTAAGTTTAAACTTTAAACCATATGAAATACATTAAAATTATAATTGCTCCACCTATGATTAGAGTTTAAAAGTTTTTTAATTTATATATATATATTAAAAAATTATTACGGATAGAGTAGGGTAAGAATGTAGAAATGAATGTCTATTTCACATTTCTACCCGAAAATTATCGAAAAACTAAAATTTTTTTTACATTTTTATTCGATTTTTGCCACTAACCGTCCAGTAGAAAAAAGTAAAATAAGATTGAGTAGGGAAATGATTTGCGGCCGGCCGAAAATTTGAAGACCCCTNATTGACTTAACCACTTATAAGTATTGAATTGATTATAATTACAAATAAATTAATTAAATTCAAATAACATATTTTTTTGTACGCACCTAGCAGTGCTAGGGATGTTCACTCTACCCTACGAGTAGGAAATATGTTCTTCCGTCTTCTTACCCGATACTTTGCGGAAGAGTTTTTTTTTAGANTTACAAATAAATTAATTAAATTCAAATAACATATTTTTTTGTACGCACCTAGCAGTGATAGGGATGTTCACTCTACCCTACGGGTAGAAAATATGTTCTTCCGTCTTCTTACCCGATACTTTGCGGAAGAGTTTTTTTTTAGACTACTACCCGACAGGTGTGGTATTCATATCCGACTTCCTACCCGATTAATCGAATAGTCGGGTAAATATTTTTGTAACAATTAATTTTTGAATTATTTTTACAAATTAATTAAATAACATGTACCAATTTAACAACATAATAAATCAATTAACACTAAAATTTAAAACAACTACAACAAGAATTATACTAAAACACAAGAAAGTATGAACATCAATCCACCATAATTGTTACACAAATACAACAACAATTAATTTAAGTTTAAACTTTAAACCATATGAAATACATTAAAATTATAATTGCTCCGCCTATGATTAGGGTTTAAAAGTTTTTTAATTTATATATATATATATTAAAAAATTATTACGGATAGAGTAGGGTAAGAATGTAGAAATGAATGTCTATTTCACATTTTTACCCGAAAATTATCGAAAAATTAAATTTTTTTTACATTTTTATTCAATTTTTGTTACTAACCGTCCAGTAGAAAAAAGTAAAATAAGATTGAGTAGGGAAATGATTTGCGGGCGGCCGAAAATTTGAAGACCCCGGAGCAGCGCTAAGCAACTTTAGCGGGAGGCGGGAGCTCACTGCGCTATTTAAAGGGGTCATGAAACGCGCCAATCATTTCCAAATCAATAGGTGTTTAAATTCGAAAGTCCCCTCTCACCTCTCTCTCTCTCTCTTCCATCAACCGAAAACCACACTGTAAAACGGGACATGCGAACTCGATTTCTCAACATTGACTACTTCAGCTCCGCTCCAATCCAAACCCTAGAATTCCTCCGCCTACCACTCCCTCACCTCCCTCCTCCGAATCTCTCCAACTTCGAAGACCTTCACTGCTTCAATGACGTCTCTGTTCTCAACATCTCTCTCGAAGTTGAGAAATTACCGGTCGATAACGCTCTCTCCAAGTTCTTCTCCGATGTTCTTCCTCAAAACATCAATATCGAAATTTCGGATTTCGCAGAGACTCAGGCTTCCGGTGGAAAATATTGCTTCAATGAGCCGAGAAGTTTTAGTTCTAAAAATTGTGATGAAGTTCGGGCTTCGGAGGTAATTCTCAGTTCGATCAACTATAGCTTTCAATTTTCTGTATACACTCTTCTTCAACGACTTTGTCTATATCATTTGTTAATAGTGATAGAAACTTAATAATGATGACTAGATATTTCAGTTCTGGAGGCATAAATTTTTTTCAAGGCGGTGAAAGCATTTTCTTGTCATGTTGAATTTCTTTCATGGTTTTTATTGTTGGTTCTGATCCAAAACGTTATAGTGAAGTGAAATTATAGAAGTTGTCTTGGATTTGACTTTGATCGATCAAACACCGCGACAACTTAGACGCTTGTATAACTTGGCTGCTATATCCTTCTTTCTTTCTTTGTCATTAATTAGTAACATCTTATATATAATTCAGGCTAATTCTGAGATGTTAACTGAATTTTGTTGTACGTAATCAAGAGTTCTATACTGGTGCGTGCTTCTAGATTAGCTTATTTTAAGTTGAAATTTAAGTCTGGATAGGATGTTTGTCTTTTCTTGTTCTGCAGGTATGTTTACAACTTTGTTAAGTGCATGAAAATGTAAAAATGATTATAAAGTACAGATTTGGTTAGTTTGTTTTGGAATGTCTCATCTGATTTTGCCTTTTTTTTTTTTCTCAACAATCCAACGTTATGATAATTTCTTCTGTTTTATTTGTTTATTTTCCCCTCGACATAAAAATATCACATCAAGACTCTTTGTTCATTACCAAGCTCAAATATCTTGTACTGGAAAAACTTCTCAGGTTTTAACAAATTGAACTCTGAGACATTCTTGAAAGTTTAAAATCTGAAACTTTTCTAGATTAAATTTTAGCACAAAAAAGTCTAACAAATGTAGGGGCAGCATCCTCAGTTAATGGGGACCATACCGAGTAATGCCATTTTTAGACATGTAACATTATGCATTTAATTAGAAAAAGTGTCTGAACATATCTCTGAATTTTGTTCAATGAAGTTCCTTTTGTTGTATTTGGGTTAACTTGCAGAAAGATGAGGTTCTTTACAAAGAGAAGTCACTGAGGAATCAGACAACTCTAGAATCTGAAGCTGTAAAGGTTTGTTTACCTTAAGCATTACACTGATTTGTCAGCAAATCATTATTTTCCTTTTTTTTTGTTCATTTGAAATTGATTTTGGCTTTTGTTGACTCTGGTTTGTGTCACTGCAGGAGGAAAATGGTAGCAGTTTTGGTTGTTGTGAACTACTCCAGTTTGAAATGCCAGAGCTGGATCAGTCCTTGGTAGACCACTTTTTAACGTTCAACAAGTAAATATGGACCTCCTTTGTTTTCCTATATATGAGAACATTCTTTCTTTTTGGCTCTTGTTTGTTTCCTGCAGGAAAACTCTTGCTCTTGCCAACAAGAGAGGATGCAAATTTTCTCTGAAGTTTTAGAAGCTGATATTAGTGAAGTAAGACTTTCTGTTATTCCTTTGATCTCCCAAATCTTATGGACACAAATAAGTTTGAGGGTTGTTTTTTTCCTAAAATTTCCTTTGTGGAAGCTATGAGTCGTGGAGAAGCAAATGAGGAATAGAATGAAATTATTCATCACCATCATTGTTGGGAGCGTGTATAATTTTTGCTCTGGCAGTCCGTTGAGTACTCATTGTCAAACTGGGTTCGAAAGAGTCAGTTAGCACTGAAAAGGATCAGTGTGGAGGAAGTTCTTATTACCAAAAACTGCATATTAAGTATTAGGGAGAATAAGCTTTTCGTCTTCGTGGGTTTGGGTGTGCTTGCTTGGACAATTTATTGAACCTCAAACATGGACCTCTGTTCTAAGGTCTTTTCCTCTAGTCTCTATAACTTGACTCTTGATACTGTCCTATTTATGTGCCTCTTCTATTTGCTTTTCGTAAATGCATACATATTGGGCCATTAGTTTTGTTTTCCCTTTTGTATCACTAATTATCCCGTCTTATGCCTAGTGAAATATTTGTTGTTGAAGACTAAATTCAACTCAACTCCTCAAAGCCTTGCCCCAACATTTTTGGGTTGATTACCTTAATCCTGTAATATTTGGCAGTATCTGGAATCCTGTTTACATAACTAAGGCATTATCTTGTAATATTGGGAATGGATCTGCAGACTTTCTCATGGTGGTGAAACCTTCCTTGTAAATGAAAACAAATGCCAAATAAGTCTACAAGCAGTTCCTAGTTATTCCTTTCTACTTTTTTGATACAGGTACAAGGACGAAAATAAGGACAAAAATAAGAAAGCTACATTTATGATTTACTTAAAGCTTGAATTCTAATTGGCAGCAACACTAATTATAAAAAGCAGGTGCAAATTGGCGCTGGGTTTAGTCTTTGGTTGAGGGTGAAGGATGGGAGTGTGAAATATGCTACTATTTGATGACACAAGAAAGCCTTAGAACACATCTAATTTTTCACCAAGATGTCCTCATAGGTTTCCCTAACCCTTTCTGTTGCTACCTCTGCAATTAATAATTCTTAAAATAAGGTAGTTTGATGGATAAACTTCTCTTGCAGGATATGCTCAGTCCCATGCTCAAGGTGCAGAATCTCTTGGAGATTCATGAAACAGTTTATTCGGTAGATGGTGTCATTCTGGAATACCATATTGAGCAAAAGGCTGATCTGTTGGACGATGGTGGTTCAGCTGGGGGCCAAGTCCATCCCTATCAGAGTGCATTTCCTCTTTTGGAAGTGGATGAGACAAGTTTGGGAATTTCAAATAGCATGCCTATAGAGGATGAACTTCTACTTCTTGCAAATGTTGAATACCAACATTGGCCAGAAGAAAATGTGGTACTGGGTGATGGGAGGGAACTTTTGGGTTCCACAGAATTTGACATATTAGAGTATCTTTTAGACCATCATCCCTTGAAGGCGTGTTTTGAAGCTGAGCTGTTAGGCTCAAAGTTTGTTCTAGAAACCGACTTTATTAGTGTTATAGAACATTCACCTGGGGAAGGAAACTCAGGAATTGATCGAGGCAGACAAGATGATGGTTTTATTTGGTCAAATAACTCAGTTCTGTTTGAGGATTTCTATTTTCTTGATTTGGACTCTTCTCAGTTTTTTGAAGTCCTCTCCAGCTTAGCAGCAAACATTGAAGCAGAAATATGTGAACAGATGTTTGGGAAATCTATGAACTTCAAGGATTTTAATGAATTGGTTGTTACTCAAGAGCTCACTTTGTTAGATGACTCTTTCATATCATTGCCCGTGCCTATTATTTCTGGTGATGAAAAGATAAGGTCACTGGATGCGTTTGTTAAGGCAACACTATCAGAGTTGGAGCCACAGCCTTTCTCTGCATCAGATGGAATATATTTAGACTGGCATCTGTTGGAGGAAGGAAATAGCAACTTTGGTAAATATTCTTCTTGCTGGAAAATTTCGGATGAGATAGATATTTATACCAGTGTTTCTGATTTGATATCTAACGATGGTGGGATGCTGGTATTTGATTTTGTTTTCTCTAATGATAGTCCAAATAGGCCAAAAGTAGGAGAAATCAAGGAGATTCTGGACATACCTTCTGGTGGCATATCTAGGGTTCCTGTATGTCCTNTGAGATAGATATTTATACCAGTGTTTCTGATTTGATATCTAACGATGGTGGGATGCTCGTATTTGATTTTGTTTTCTCTAATGATAGTCCAAATAGGCCAAAATTAGGAGAAATCAAGGAAATTCTGGACATACCTTCTGGTGGCATATCTAGGGTTCCTGTATGTCCTGATGATGTTTCCTCAAGTAGGTTGCCGAATGATGAATGTCAAAAAGGGCTAATGGGAGAAGTCTCATCTGACATCGAGACTGAGAAGGTTACACAGTCTGTTGAATCCATGTCACATTTTAATGATCTTGACTTTTTCTTAAACCCTCTGGAGTCTACTGGTGGGAAAAATCATAAAGCTGTGGTCAAGGCACTTGATATGAAAGCTACATTTCCTGTGGTTTCATTAACTGATTCAATGGCAGCAGGTGCTACCAGTGTAGTGCAATCTCAAAAATGGGATATCATCTTGCACAAAATTAAATTATCGGCTGATATCTTGGCCCTTATTGATAGTTTACAAAAGAGCTGTCTAGCCATCTTAGAGAATGACACCGAGCTGACAGAAACACAATGTACATATCCTGTGGATGATTCTACTATGTTAAGCCTTTCAAAAGATAAGCTAATGGACTGCATTAAGAAAACAAGTTCAAAAAGAACTCGCTTGGCTCATGGTGATGACCGACTTATGGCATGTGTGACATTGTATGCAATTAAACAGATGGCTTGGTACCTGTGTTACTATGGCATTCATACTGCATACCTATATGTAGATCAAGTATGTCGAAGCCTGCGGTGCTTGAAACTTAGACTAAGTTGCCTACACAATTTGATTGAAGATGCACACAGGAAGGCTGAGATGAAGATATCTGAGTTCCATCCATCACTTGGTGTTATACATGCGATTTTGCAATCAAACTTGAGCAAGATTAGTTTGAAAATATTGATTGTGGCCGAGCAAGTTATGTGGTGGCCATTGAAGCGGTTGTTAACTTCCATGAAGATCTCATATAACGAGCTGCAAAATTTTCATGCACATACAAGTCAACATGATGCATGTTATAACAGTGAGTACACAGATACTGCAATGGATGCTGTGTTTCGTTCAGATTGCTACTTGGTATCCCCTGAGTAAGTTTTAGTCCATAACTCATAAGGTACATACATTGGTTGATTGTTACTGGGCAGAAAACATGTTTTATCTACCTAGTGAGACTTTGAGCTGATAGTTTTGCTGTGAGTGATTACACATAACCAAACAAAATTTGAGCTGAAAAATCTTTTTTTTTTTCACAAAAAATAAAATAAAATTAAAGTTGAGCATGCCAATAGGCATACAACATGATTTGAAGGTATTCATTAGTTTTATTTATGGCTAACGAGATCTAGAGTATTTACTAACACTTCTTTATCCATCTTCAAGGCATGTTTCTGCATCATTTCCGTTTGGAATATTTGGCATTATCTTGGAATATGGAGGTTCATGTGGATCACCTAGAATATGGACTTTATCTTCGAAGGTTGCTGGTTCCCCTATTCTTCATTTCCTCAAGGTGGAATTGGAGGACTCAAGTGTTTCCAGAGTGCTTTGTGAAGGTTTTGACATGCCCAAGAGTATTAGAGTTACAATGGCAAGTTTCTTTTTTCTTGCATGAGTACACCAGCATCTATCATTTCTTTTCTGGGATTAACGTTTGACCACCAGTAGTGAATTTCTCAATACATTGTCTGCACTAGAAACCATGAAAACAGCTCACTTCATAAATTCAAATTCATAATGCGGTGCAAGTAAAACTCTGATCATATACATATCTTTATCTATGGATAAAGTTCAATATGTTTGTTTTTACTTGCTTCCTATTAAAAGAAAATAGAATCGATGTCACACAAAGGAGGAAGAAACAAAAAATTAATAGGAAATACTGCAAGATTCTAGCAAGCCATTCATCATTTATGATAATTTCATATAATGTGCATTGCAGCAATTCCAATATTGTTTTAGTGCTAGGAAGAAGGCTTTCAAATTTATCACTTTGAATTGGAAATGTAATCAGGTCATTCAATCGGCTCATTTGTAGTTTTACGTAGGTTGCAAAATATAAATTGTTAACACCTTCAAGTATTGTGGCTTATATGTTACGAAATGTCAACGGGAACCTTCAGATATGAGTAAAAGGGAGCCTTCTGATATAAGTACTTTTTGACATCACTATTAGCCCGTTTATAAGTCGGTACAGGAGAGTGTCTAGTGTCTACTCACATGTACATGGATTGTACAACATACTAGCGCCCTTCTTTTATTATATCCGCTGTCCAACACCTGATTTTGGTGACCATATTGCTCCGTAACATGATGAAATAATAGAGTGAGGTTTCTGGGATGGAACAATGACCCTTTGAGGAATAAGTAAGGTTTATTTGGGCTTATCACTATTGACGGGAATCATTAAAGATAATCTAAATCAATACTGAACTTGGGATAATTATTCCACAAAACTGATGTTGCAGGAATTGCATTTGTCAGTCCTAACTAGAAGAGTTACATTAATGTTTGAGGTGCTGGAGTTATACAGGGTTTTATGAATAAATTACTATCTGAATATTGTAATCACTATTTTATGCCATCTCCTATTTCACAAAAATGAATTTTAAACTGACTTCTTTTTTCTTGATATTTATTTTCACTGATCTGAAATTGTATTGCAAAACTCTGTTTCACCCTGTTGGCATTGATCATATGTCAGAAAGGAGATCCACATTCTATCTCAACCCTGAATGAGATCAACCAGTTGGAAGAATTGCTAAACTTCATACCTGTTGAGGAGGAGCACAAGATGGAATATTTGGATTCTGCAGATGATGTTAAAGCTTGCTATATGCCTCTGCGAGTTTCATGTGTGCCAGTGGCTATGGAGTCAAAGCAAACTTGCACAAGCACACCTTCCCATAACACTATAATTGTTGTGAACACGCAAAATTTTGATACGGAAATGATAATTTCCAGGAGAAGCACATACCAAAGGATTCTTGCAATGGAGAAAGAAGGAGCACAAGTTGTTGAAAGAGATTTAAATCTGCCTGTAGACGTTATAGTTAGTGCTGCAGTTTGCCTAGCATGGTATGATTGCAGAAACATTGGAAAGAAGGCAACACCTTCAAATGAGCCTTCTTCATCCTTACCTTCATGTATTGAGAATATTGCGGCAAATGTTCTGACTTCACTGAGTTTTACTTTCAAGAGCTGCATTCTGGTAATTTTCTTGCCCTGGTGCTAAAGACTCAAGCTATTTTTTTGCATTCATTATTGTTCTTGTGATGCTTGCATGCCTTTCTGCTGCGGAGAGGGAGACTTCTCCCATTAATCTCATTGATGTCAGGGAAAAGAGTGAGACAATGTTGTTTTGCCTGATACGTCTTAGTAGTCACCTCATATCTAGTGTGAGTATGTAACCCACATTTACAGAAAGTCAAACTAAGCTGGGTAATTGTAGATACTGTAGAAGAATTGCTTCTTTGTACATGCATATGTATGGAGTACCGACACAACTTGGAGGTATCATGAACTTGTATAAGTCTCTCTCCCCCTCCCCTCTCTCTCTCTCTCTCTCTCAAACTCCAAGCCTTGAGATCTATTGGGACACCATGAGTAGACTACTTATCTTATAAAAAACTAAAATGGTAAGATATTATTAATTTTTTAATCTGGGTTTAATGGATTTGTTTGTTTTATAGAAATAGATACTCATGGTGATTAGTTGCATTCAGTGTGCCTGGACTCCGACTCTAATCAGCCCTGGCTAATCTTTTTTCTCCACTTTTTGGTAGGGCTTCTTTGAGTTTAAGATAAGAGCTGTGTTGTCTTTGCGATGAATGTAGTGATTGACAGCTTAGTTGACCACAAGGGAAGAATGCTGTCTTTTCTTGCTTGTTTGCTCCTATAGGAGCAAGTATGCTGTGTTATCAATTTCCTTACGTGCATCCCCAACCTCCCCTCCCCCCC